CGGCGCATGCGCAACGCTGACCTCATACTTCATCCGCCCGGAGCTGCTTCTGTGTACAACTGTTGGCGCAAGCTAGATTCAAGTGATTATTACGTTTTGAATATGGATATTTTTCTTACAAGAACGCATCGATTCGCTACAGGAGGCCTTTGTTCATCCCCCGGAGCGGTGTGAGACACTTTTTTTTGTGGAAGGGTGCTTTTTATTTCACATCTTTTGGACTGAAGGAATGCAACACCCGCTGAGTACAACGACAGAGCTTGAAAGATCAAAGACCATTTTTAATATAACTCCGACTGGATTCGTCTGAAAGAAGAAAGTCATATACACCTAGGATGCATCGGGGGTGAGTGAAACACAGCCTAATTTTTATTATGGGGTGAACTAACCCTTTAACTGAAATGAAAATGTAAATGATGATATATTAGTGTTGCTGTAATGTTTCCTCACACATTGGTGTGTAGCTGGAAGTCTCCTGCCTTGTAGCCCAAAGCGAAGTTGTTCTGGGCCAGTTTGGACTTGGCCGTGTCGAAGGCCATCTGATACCCAGCCAGCCAGCCTTCATAACCCAGAACAGCTGCGGCGTGAATCGTCGGTCCGGCCAGATCGAAATCTAAATCACAGCCCACATTCATGAAATCACGCTTATATCCGGTCTTCAGCTTAGCGCTCTTCTTCCTGAAGATATCAGAGAGAGGATGACAGTGCAGTTACTGAATAGGTGGAATTGACGACAGAAAATGACAGAATTTTATAATAGTTTTTATGCTGATTTTCATATTTTATATATACACACGATTTTTTTATTAAGACTTTTATTTTATTATTTTATCTTGTTAAAATTTTTGTTTTTATTAAGAATATTATTTATTTTTTATTTTTATTAATATATTTTATTTTTATTGCAAAAAAATATATATTATTTTTCATGAATTAAAAATAATATAATTCATATACATTATCTTAATTTAATATTCAATATATCAAAATATGGTGACAATTCATATTCAATTGTCACATTTCAAAATACATAATCCAAGATCAACAATATATTACTTTTATTAAAGAAAAAGCTACTTATATTTTTTTTAAGACATTTATTTTTTATCTTATTAAAATTTTTATTGTTTTATTTTATTAACTTATTTTATTATTTTTATTTTTAAAAACATTATTATTTTAATATAATATTCAATACATCAAAACATGTTGATAATTCAAAACTGTCACATTTCAAAATGCAAAATCCAAAAAGTTACTTTTGTTACAAGTTGTTTTGTTTTTTAAGTGACTTTTTAATAATAAAACTTTATCTCTTGTCCAATCAAAGTGTTCACGTACCCAGTGTTGGGCACAAATGAAGTGTCCAATCCCAGCTTCAGACCTTTGGCCAGCTACACAGAAACAAGACAAAACAGTGCATTATATAACCATTTAAAAGCTTAATGCACATGTTAGAAATGGCGTCCTGAATTCACCTGATCTTCCAGTGTCACTTCATTTGTCAGAACATTATCTGTGTTCCACTTCTGGTTCAAAGTCAAGCCCAGATCCTTCACTTTGTACTTGGTCTCCAGGTTTCCAGCCGCCTTTCCGGTGTCTGTGTTACTGGAGCCACCGGTGGAGAACTCCTGAGAAACGAGAGAGAAACGCAGGAAGTGAAAGGATGCAGGGAAAGAGAAGAAGAACAACAGGCTGCACCAGCTGCTCGTAAAGTCATGTTAATTCATACTAGGAGCCTAGTTAGAATAGAACCGTATGGAGTTAGTTTGTATCTCAGTATCTTATTTGGTTGCACCATCTGTTATCAAATCCAAGACTTAAAACTACATAATTCAACTAATTCAGATTCAGTTAAACTTAATTATCTAAATAAATTAGTAAGACATTAATTTTTATTATTTTTATTTGATTCATATTTTAATTTTTTTTTATTAAATTATTGCTGTTTCTTAATTTAATATTCAATACACCAAAACGGTGATGGTGATAATTCACAATTGTCACAAATTTAAAATGAATAATCCCAGATCAACAAAATACTGCTTTTATTAAAGAAAAAAGTTTTAAAAATTATTAAGAATTTAATTTGATATTTTTTTATTAACATTTTATTTTTATTTCTATTTATTTAATATATTTTATTATTTATTTATATATATATATATATATATAATTTTATATTCATTAAAAAATAATATCATTCCTGCAAGACTTTGGTAGTTTTGGCAACAAGCTCTCCATAGGCTAAAGCTGAACATATCTTAAACCTTTACTGATGCACATTTGTAAAAAGGAAATGGTGTTAAAAATTGTGTTTCACTTTTAACTTAATTATATAAATAAAGAACACAAATTAAATTTAATCTAATGCAATGTAAATATTTCTCCATATAATCCAGAAGAGTAGAAAAAACACAGAATTGAAATCAGAACACAAACTGTTTACCAGACAGCTATATTGAGGTCACTGTGTATTTGGGTTTAAACTGAATAATGGGAAGATCTTTCTCACGCAGCAACGACAGGCATGAAACCTTCTCAACATTAGTGCAAAAACAAATTTAGCTGGAAAGTTGAGCTGCCAAAAGAGACCAAACAAATTCACATCCTCATGTAAAATATCCCAGTCTTACCATCTGACATCGACGTCCAATAAAGAAAGCAAGAAAGACAGACAGAAACAGGTTAGGAAAGAGATACACTGATGCAAACATTCAGATTCATGGGGAATGACAGAAAATCATTCCCAACTGGGGTATTATCATTAACTAAAACCATTAAAATAAAAAATTGATACTTGAAATAAAATAAAAGATATCTGAAAAAATA